ATGATAATATAGCATGCAGTAATGTTACTAAATGATATAACAATATTATACAACTGTAATAAGTTACGTGTGTGATATTTATATTTGTGCTTTGTCGTTATTGTCTTTCAGGAGAACAATCTCAAATAGATGAAGACCTGGTTAGCATGGTGATTGAGGACTCCCAGCCATTTAGCATTGTGGAGGACAAAGGATTTAAAAGATTTGTTAAATCATTAAATCCTAGCTATGTTCTCCCCACTAAAAAGGTCATAAAAGCAGTGAAAATTTAGTTTTTACAGAATAAAATGTGGGCTGTCCATACCTCAACGTTACAAAAGCACAACCACTGTCCACACCTCACCTCACGGTAAATGATCATTTCCATTTTAAGCATTTCCAAATAATCATTTTCCATACTGCCAGTATAAATATACACAGTATACTGCCATCACTACAATATAGATGTTTTATACACTCCTTTAGTTGTTGACATTTACAGGCTGTGTGCAAAAGGCCACACTCTTCAAATTCATGCCAACTAATATTTTTATGTCCAGTAGATGTTCTACTAGAGCAAATGAAGCTTCAAGACGCTTTGCGCTGGGGTTAACCAATCGGATGAAAAGCTTCGGTGCTTCATGAAGCTTCATCTGCCCATCACTACATGCAGCAAGCTCATATATGTAACCATTCAGTAAATATTTATGTAGAAGACACACGCACAAAACTTTAGCGCGATTTAGTGCTCAAGTTTTTCTTGCGCTTTTGTTCATCGACGTTGTCTGGGCTTCTTCTTCTTCTTTTTAGTTTATAGTGGTTGGTAAACCAGCTTAGTGGTGCATTACCGCCACCTGCTGCACTGGAGTGTGGCTCCTCCAATAAATGCCCACACCTTTTCCGGCTTTTAGGCCAATCAGCGACGCGCCCTGCGTGAACACGGGGTTTGAAATGTGCAGAGACTCGGCTAAGCTAGACGAGAAAGAGAGTTCACCTGGTTTTGTAAGTTTTACTTGGGTGCTTTTGTGACATTTTTTGTAGTTTGATGGGAGGCACAGTGATAAATTACTTTTTTTGATTTGAAATGTTTCACTTATGACAGTCACTTAGGTTTTAACCGAATGCTAGATGCTAACGTTGCTAAACAGCTAGTGGTAAAGCTAACTCTGCTTAAAAGAATTATATTTATTTAACCTTACGTTGACCAGCGTTACTGTTTGTAACATAATCCGCCATCCGGGCTTGAATCCAAGTTAACTTGCATTTTGAACCTTTTCCATTCTCTATCATCTAAATGATTGACCATTTTTGTGCCTGCTAAACTCAAGGTTCTGCACTACTTCCTGTCACACACACAAGACCCATGCCAGCGGCAATGGCGAATGATACCGCGTGGATGACGACGTGGAACATGGACACAAATCCCAGTAAGATGACTGTGCCGATTATCTAGTGGTTGGGTTGCTGGGTCCCCAGTTCGATTGTGTGCTGCACAAAACAAACACTGCATGTTAAAGTGGAAGCGGTGCTGGGTGTGGGAGTGATGAGTTGCACTAATCAGCTGGGGTGTCGAGTTGACTGCCTCAGTCTGATCCAACCTGAGGACACGCAATGTGCACAGGGGCCATCTGACCCAACCCTGCTCCTCTATACACATGTGTTGTATGCTTCTTTTAAGTTAAAACACACACACACACACACACACACACACAGAAACAACTGGCCACATGGCAAAAAGCTTACAGCTCTCTGCAGGTTGTCCCAGGCATCCTGGAGCACTTATTGCCATTGTGTGAATTCTGTCTCTTCATGTAATGACTCATTTCGAGGTCAGACCCCAGTCCTGCTTTAATAATTCCACATTTGACTGTCTGTTTATTTTCCCATGTGCTGGATAATGAAATCTATGGGTTTTGCATGGAGCCACAGTCATGGAGCATTTGGCATGCACTGTAAACCCTGACAGAAGACTGTAGGGATGAGAATTCATGGAGTACTACATTAAATGTACTCTTTAATTTACAAATATGTCATTGTTTATTAGCAGGTGTGATCACCCTAGAAAGCATTACGTAAACTTGATACCCATTTTACATAATGCTGATGATGCCATACTCTATTAAACCATGATTTTGTTCTGAAGATGTGACTTTTTTAAAGTCCGTATTAATGTCACCTGTCGTATTAACTCAATTTTTTATTTTTATTTTATTTTTTGACAAGGCAACAGATGCTGTGGTGTAGATGTCATGGAAGGTCCTCTTCCCCCTCTCCAAGGCAGAACTCCGAGCTCCATGACCTGATGACATGAGCTCCTTCATTCTTTAAGGTCTGTGTCTGAATGTCATCTGTTTGCTGAGCTATTGGAATGATTTTCTCTTGTTTCCAAAGGGCATGCTGTCATTTTAGTCAACTGCACAGTTTCTTTAAATCAGTCATGTTTTATGAGAAACATGGCATCTGGTATAACATTTTAAAAAAGTATTAGCCCTGTACTCTGATTGGTTTGTCATAGATTATGTTTACCTGTTTGTTTTGGCTTTATTTGCTTTTATAAAATTTTTTCATCATACTTGTCCTATGGTCAGCTGAGCTTTTTTGGTGATGACAGTTAATACAGCTGTTCACCATGAGATGAACCAGGTAAACTCACTTTTTTCTTTTCTCTCACGTGGGGTTGTGACAGTGATGAGTTGCACTATCAGTCAGGCTGGTGATTGCAGTGGCACAGCCAGCCTGTCCTGACAAGCTGTGGTGACACCTCAAGGTGCACAGGGGCCATCTGAGTCATTTCCCCACCTGACAGGAAAAAAATAGTGGCTGGCTCCTTAATGTATTTTCTCGCTTGATTTTTTTTCAACTGCAATTCTTTTTCTCCTTTTTTTGTTGTTTGTTTGTTTCCTTATTTTCTCAGTCTTAAAAATAGACAGCATATGCTTACATGGGATGACCCAAATATATCCTGCCAGCAAAAGTAGGTGGAGGAGGAAGGACCCCAAAACTGGTGAGCACAAACGGCATAAATCATACATCTTTTATAGATGTGAAATTTACAGTGGATTATCATATTTTAAAAACGTGCATGTGTTGTTATTTAACAAATGTAATCAAAAAGACAAATGGTGATTCAGTCTTGCTGCAATAAAAGTGTGTACAGTTGTGGTCACACTTACAGAATGGGGTTGTTTTTGGCCATTTTTCAGAGAATATGAAACAATTTTCACTCATGGTCAGTGGTTGGGTGAAGCCATTTATTAAATGATTGTTTGCCCTTTTAAAATCATAACTACCCAAATAACCCTGATCAGGTTTACATACTGTAGTTCTTAATACCATGTATCGCCTCCTTTCCTTTTTATCACTTTTGCCTACAGAAGTGATAACCATGCTCTAGTTTACTTCATTTTAACTTCATTCCAGCTTCAGCACCGTCACCCCTTTACTAAGTTTTTCTGCTTTTGTGACATTTTTGGTAGTTTGTTGTTTAAAGTTGCATATTAGTTTGTCATACATTTTAGGTGCGCGCACACATGATGCAAGAAATGTGTTTTCTTCTTGCTCAGTGGATTTGCACTGTCACTGTAAACATAAAGCCCAATAGATCATGACAGAGCTTCATAAAGTCAAGTTTAAGTCAGTTGTATTTTTTCACTTTATTGAAAAGGAGACATTTGATTAAGCAGCTTTGGTGTGTGCAGCAAATGCTCTCCATTCTTAGAGTATCAGGCTAGCCAGCTAGAAGATTGTGATTTCTTTCTATATAATTTAACAGTTTTGATGAACAGACACTTGCTCTGTTTGTCACTGACGACCCAGTTAAAACTAAGTCCAGTTGATCAGTGGCCCTTGTGATAAAGGGAATCTTTCAACCCCAGACTGCCCATAACAGTTTTCCTGCTGCTCTCTCTCTTTTTGTTTTCTTTTTTTTGGCGAGGCGGGGTCCTGATTCCTGCCATAATGTCATCATTGGTTCTACTATTAAAGTTTTCTGTCCTTTCTCCTTTATTCATCTCTGCAGGCAGCTTAATATCAGAACACTCTGTCAGCCCTACAGCAGCAGACACTGCAGTCACTGGTACAGCTCTTTGTGGACCTTCACTAGTTGTGCACATCACCAGTCACTGAGCTGCTGCAGAATGACCTACATGTTACAATGTTACCCAATGCTGGAAAACAATTTCCAGTAGTGAATTCTCTAAGGATCCAAACCTCTCCCTTCTTATTTGATGACTGAAACATCAGCTTGCAGCCTCGTGCACAGGTGAAATATTATTATCATTTTTTTTTTAAATGTATCTCATGACTGATGAACAGGAAAACTTAAGTAGTTCTCTACTTGTTGTCTTGCTGTTGTCTCATCTGTTAGGCTTTGCCAATACGTTGCTCTACAGAGGCCAGTTTTACTTACTAAAGTGTTTTCCTTTCTGTAGCGAGGAATCGGACAAGATTTTGCATCAGAAGAAATATCCAAAGTGTTGGGGAGCATCATGACCAACCTTGGAAGATCTGTGTTATTGGCGTAAATTGAACATTTTCCTTCACTCTTACCACAGCAACAATCATCCAGGCAAATACTGTAATAAAATTGCGCAAACTTGTATCATATCTCTCGCAGTTCTGATTTTGGGGTCATAACATCCAGCTCTCGAATAGCTGAATTAAAGCAGCAGAGGGTTCATTAATCGCTTTTGCTGAAAGTGTTTTGCAGAGGTGACAGCAACTGGACTCCTAAGAACGATTACAGTTTCAGTGAATGCCTTGCATCATCAGAGGCTTCAGCTCATTTTAAATATCTGCTTGTTCTATTGTTTTGTCATCCAGCAGGGTTAGAAGCTTGTTTGCCCGGCACTATGATGTGTATGTATTATTGGAGGGTCTACCTTACAATATAAAGTGGCTTGAGGTGACTGTTGTTGTGATTTGGTGCTAGATAAATAACTTTGAATTGAATTAATCTGTATTCAGATATTTATGTACCCAGGAAACAGAGAAAGTAACTGTATAGTTGTAACATCGAAGATTCTCCGCAACATCTGTCCAGGAAGCAAACTTGAGATGGTTGGTGTTAAACTTAACAATATCCTGCTGTTCACCCGGTTAGCTGTAAATATACTGATAATGAAATCACTGGTGTATTTTTACACCTTTAGATACTGATTTACACTGGCTCTGCAGGTTTGGTGTATCTGTAGAGTATCACTGGTTTACACATGGATTTCTTTTGAATAAACCGTAATTGCTAACCGACATATGTAATTTAGGTATTTGGCACCAGTACAGATCATCTTACTGTGGTATCGGCCAGATATGAATAGATTATAGAGAACTGGCTTCTTTATTTACACAAAATTGAAAAAAAGGGAGGGGGGGGAGTGAAGATGGGACCACATTCAGGTTGGCTCAATCTTCACTTTAAGAAAAAGGAAAAAAAATGAATATAAATATATACAAAAGATGTGCTCCTGGTATTAAATTAAAAATGTGTACATCCTCTCAGTATTACATTCCTATCTGTTGTTTTTGTTTGGTTTTCAGTCAATACAGAAGAATGAAATGACAACATGACCTAAATAAACTAAATTCAGACATGTGACGAGTTGCTGTTCTCCATGGTTGCCCATCTCTGCTGTATAGTAGAATTTTAACCACCAGGTGGCAGTTGAATATCAGTGATCACCTCCAGTCTGTTGCCTATAATGAGGTAACACATTTTACTGGACTAATTAGCGCCTCAAAACTGCACACACTGATAACTCCTGCAGCATCGTTTTTCATCCGTATCCTGTGGTGCACTCGCCATGTAGAATTCTGTGGAAATGAACTTCACAATTGCTCTCGCACAAACGTGTTTTAACATTGTTTTAATGTAAATGTGTAAGACTGCCATTACCTCAACTGTATTGCTACACTTCTAGCTTTTAAAGTAAAAAGTTTAACAATTTAAAGTGGAAAACAGATGAATTCAAATGTTTTGGGGGATGCTTATGTAATCAAATATATTTTGAACATAGTGACCTGGTATTTGCTCAGTTTGAACACAAATGATTTTAAGTGTTTGGATGTTGCACTACATGTCATCCATTCATTTTTAAAAAAAAATATTGTAACTTTGAAGCTATTGAAATGATTGGCTCAACCTTCCACTATGCTACAGTCACATTAAGAAAAACAGTGTTCAGGATTACCGAACATTATTGAAAAAGAAAATGTATCAATTTGTGATTGAATGGGTTTAAACTGGCAGTTACATGGAATTTAATAAATCTGTTGCTGTCTGCATACACAGAATTCCACATCGGCTACTTGCAAATTCCTACCACTCAAATTCCTCTTTGTGACATGGTTGCTGAAGGACAGTGATTTAACTGCAATATTACACAGGTACTCTGCAACTTGTTTTCAGAATACAACCAGCTGGCATCCTTTATTCTATTCTACTCCTCTATTGCAAAGAGATTGCAAAATCTGTATCCATAAATTAGATGGCAATAATTTGTAAACCTTCACCAATCGGAGAGCGACTGAGTCAGCCCAAGTCAGGCTGTGATTGTTTGGAAGCAGATTGCCTCCGACACGGTGATCTGTGTAATTGTCATGTATTTAAATGTGCAAGCATGGAATTCCTTGTAACTGGTCACTAATTCCAATCATTGGAATCTCCTTGCAGCCACCTCCTTCCTAGTTGCAAGGAAGTTGTCTTATATTTGCTGTAGTGTGACTGAGCCATTAGTTATGATGCCTTGAGGCCCAGGCTGCTGAGAGATCTCCTTTGATGTACTGAGCTCTTCTCCTTCACACCTATCTTTTTCATTCCTGCTCACTCTTCATCCCTCTCTTCTTCCTCATCTACTAAGTGCATGTGGTAAATGGCTGCTATCTCTGACCCTGGCTCTGCCAGACGTTTCTTCCTGTTAAAGCGACCATTTTTCTCCCCACTTTCACCTCATATAGGCTCATTGAATTGCTGGGGTCTGTACAGTACAATATATAAAGTACCTTTAGAGGACCATTCAGGGGAATCAGCAGTACATAAACTGAATAAGATTAAACTGGATTTTTATCATTTTAAGCAAATCAGACTAATGGGTCAGTTCATAGCCCTTCTATGCCACCCACTGAGAAATCTCAAAGGACAGATATTTAGGTTGCTTTAACCTGCCAGTTGCTTTGTAAACAACGTCCACCCCAGCACCTTTCCATGCTATGCATGACTTGATTGATATCATGATGTCATTGCCAAGGTCTGTTTTGTATGAGGTAGGGGATTTTTACTACTCTCACTGCCAATGAGTTTCTGTGCATGAACAGGGAGCTCTCAGAACAGAGCTGGCAAATATAAACCACTGCAGCTGAGGAACAGACAATCTGTGTTCTTACTGACAGATTTATTGTTGAGATTCACATTGCCTGTTTCACTGCATATGTATATTTAAAATCACTATGTAATATATTACAGGTAGGGGAAAAAAGAATCAGTGCTTTCACACATTCCCACGGGGGTTTAAAATATAATTTTTTCCTCCTGCTATCTCGCATCACCTTTCCCTGTGACTCAGAGCGGTGATTGACAGCAGCGAGGGGAGCGATCATAGATGGCTGAATGACTAGACTGTGGTACCAGAGGCAGGGCTTGTTTTGCTTTTAACTGTACCCACAGGGGAATTGAGGAACATCCAGCTTCTCACAGATGTTTCCAGAGTTTTGGTTAGAGGGAGAAGTCCAAGACTTCAGAGGGAGAGGGGTAGAACTCTTAAGAGATAAACAGGTTTGTGTAGCCTGAGGAGGCCATCCTGTGAGTGCGGAGGTCTGGAGGGAACTAACTCTGTCAGAGTCTTCAGAGGACATTTTTACAGGATGCTTTGTAGATGTGAGATAAAAGGAAGGGATTATATTGTAAGTTGAAATCATTTTTTGCTAATGATGCCATAATCTTTTGTTCAGGCACTGATAATCTCAGATCCCAGGCTCCAGTGTGCACATAAATATGTACACATTGTTGTCACATGCTACACCAACACATGTTTATTAGTAGGAGGTAGTTTTTTCTTCCCCGTCAGTGAGTCACGGTGCACTCATACTCCCTGGTAATGAAAAGCCAATTAACATTTCTTGTCTGAAGTGGTTGAATGCACGAAAATGTTTGTTTAGTGCCTTAAAAGATCGTACCAATGCAGGAAGAACATTTTGTGTAATGGCTGCATTGCAGATTTTCTCATTTAAACATTTTTGGCTCATGTAGACAGCACCATAGCAACAGCAGGTTGTTAACTACCAGCCAAAAGAGACGTTTAACCCCAATGCTAACATGCTAACTGACAAATCTTGCTTTATGAGACAGAGCTCAGGTTTTGATGTCTGAACAGGAACTACGTACAACAGGCAAACATTTACCTGAATCACAGGAGAAACTACAATAAAGCTAGCATATTCACCATTTTTCACACTGCAGTCAAAAGCAAAAGAAAAACTGCCACATCATCGTGGGCGTGATTTAAAATGCTCATGTTGAAATGTTTCCCTGAAAAAGCCCACCACATGCCAAGAGTTCATTTAAGTGTACGGCACAAAAGGCAGACTGAAGAAGACAAAAAACAGTTACTGCAAAGCTCAAAATCTGAAGCTTTCTGATTTAATTAAGTTCATTTGTAGCGTTCTTCAACCGCAGACACTCAAACTGAACGTTGATATTTTTGTACATATACTTAATAGCATAATTATAAGAACACATATTTGTCTGTTAAATTTAAGGGTAAAGCTTTTCACAGTGATTTCAATCAGGGTCACCACAGTGGGTAGCTTTGCATATTCAGTTTGGCAGATTTTTATCCTCACATGCCTCTATGATGGGATTTGTGTCTGCATCTTTGGAAACTACACTATAGAGTCACCTGCAAATATTACTTGATTTGAATTTGAATAATTCTGGTAACATTCAAATAAAAAAAATAATCCAGTGGTTTAGGGATAAATTACTATTGTGAGATAAAGGAAGTCAGTGTGTATCTTATTGCAGTTCTTCATCTAATGCTAACCTCAAATTTATCAATGTCCTCTCCATGAAGAAGAAATTAAACAATGTATATGTTCTTGTCTCATTTTAACTGAGTGTGTGCATCTTCATTTTCAGTAATGCTATCTTCTCTCCACTGTTTCACCCTGAGTATCAATTATAAAGAGGACCTTAAAGAGCAGCTCCAGAATGATGCCAGCAGCTTGCAACAGGAGCAACAGTTTCAATATGTGAAACTAAACCAAAGCATATAGCCAAGACAAAGCTGCAGTGGCTTCAGGATAAGTCTGACTGTGTCTTTGAGTGGGTTTTGATTGCCAAAAACGAAAACACTTCTACACAGTCTCACATTAATGGTCTGATGTAGTAAATCACATATCAGTGGGGTTTTTTTTTCTATATATGGGTCATAAAAAAATGGTGGATGCTCATATTAAGCATGGCTAAGGTTTCAAATGTATGGGCAAGTACAACTGTGCCTGATATGTTTACCCGAGGCACAGCTTTGGCTATGAGCAGAGAAGCCCCACCCACCTGCTGTTCTTCCGTTTGTGAGGAGAAGCCAATCAAAGGAAAGTTGGCTGATAG